CACGCATTGTATTATTTTGTATTATCAGTAGTATTACTTTCACCCTTCTTCAAAATACATAAATGAATAAAATTAAAAGGAATGATAAAAATCTTTTACTTAATTTTTTATCTATTTTTTATTTTTATTTATTTATTATTTCATTTTATTTATTTATTTATTTATTTATTATTTTATTTTATTTTATTTTTTAATTTATTTTTTCATTTTTATTTATTTATTTATTTATTTTTGCAACCACAAATACCACAAGAGAAATGCAGGAAGAGGTTAAGGTGTACGGTGACCTTGAAGTTTTTTCTGTGATGCAAAGATGTTCTCAGAGTGAATGACGATGTTTTGTTCTGCGGTTCTTTTTTTCATTTCCAAAATAAATAAATAATAAATATTAACTTATTAAATAAAATAATAAATAAATAAATAAAAAATAAAAATAGATAAAAAAATTAACATATTTTATTAAATAAATTGATGTTATTACAATATTTCCATTCAATTTCATTTTGATTAATTTGGAATTTCAGATTGTTACTTTTATTGTCAATTCAATTTTATTTTAATTTGGAATTTCATTGTTATATCGTCTGTTTTAAAGACTTTTTGTCCATCTTAATGAAATTTGCAGACCCTTGCCCTGCCTCATGAAAGTGCCTACAATTCTTAATTATAATTCAGAATATTGAACAGATCCAGATCCAAAGATTTTAAATTGTAAAATGTCTGATTTTGTTTAGGGAGGATATAAGGCTTTTAAAAAAACTCAAACTTCGTAGTTATCCTTAACCTTTGTTTTTCTTTTTTTTTTCAGGGACTTAGTACGATGAATAGGAACCATGTTCATTTTGCACCAGGTGAACCTGGAGGCTCAGGGGTCATTAGTGGCAAGTTGCTATTTGTAATTCACTTGTACAAGTTTGATAGTTTGCAAATCATTTATCCATTTCATTGCTTATACTGGGCACCTAGAATTTTTTCATTACAAGTGTTATGTGTTCCCCTTTACAATGAAAACCTTAGAAAATACATTGAAGCCCATGTTAACAATATGTCACGTCAGTTCAGATTAAATTCAGTTTTGCTAGCCATTTTAAACTTTTGAACATTAATGATCTCCAAACTCATTGGAGGTAAAAAAATATAGTAATACGTAGGTGTTCTGCACCAAATTTGGCCATGGAAACTAAGTTTGTTTCAATTTTTCCCAAAAAAGGAATGTATTTTTTCCACCTGAACACTATATAATTCATTTTTCTTTTGTGAAGTTACTAGTAACCATCAGTTTCAGACATAACATTTACTGGAAACAGTAAAGGTCTGCTGATAGAAGAGATTATTTTCCAATAATTTCCGAAATTCTGTGTTAAAGTCACAGACATTGTCGAAATTCTCTTGGCAGAAGTTTACTTTACATTCTTAATCTCTGTCATTAACTTTTCATTTCATTAGGTATGCGAAAAAGTTGTCAAGTCCTCATCTACATGAATTTACAAAAGGCATTAGAAGGTAAGTTATCCTCATTCACTTCTTCATCATAATGATTGATAAAAAGCTGATTAAGTGATAAGTTTAATCATAACTTATGTTTATATTTGTCACACATGTACATAGATATCATAACCATATGTTGTATTATAAATGTACTCATATTTTAATTAAGAACTTAAAAATAATTTTTGTGAGATATTTTCATACCACCAACCTCTTGCCAGTTTAGTGTACCCTGAGCTTCAGATCAGAAGTGTGCCATTTATCTTCAAATTGTTTTTTTTCAAATGGAGAAGCTGTCGCAGACTAGATCCGAGACTAAAGGCAGTAATTCATTGTCAACAGGCCATAAAGCAGGTCTGCTACTGTAGTGAAAATTTGTTTAATTTTAAGATGGTCTGCAGTTCTTTTTATCAGACAATAATGTCATCCTTAGCCCTGGCAACTGTGATGGAATTATCTCACCAAAATATTTCTCCAAAGTTATGGACCGGGAGACTGGTACGTGTTTGACTTTATTTGGAACAAAATTTATTATATAATAGAACATTCTTGCAAAGATAAATTTCTTTTTCTTTTAACATTGATGTTCATTTGCCCTATAAAGTACACATACTAGTAAGTCTTTGTAGGTGAATGTCAGGACAGTGTAACTTTTTTCTGTCTTAAATTATTTTTCAGGGCAGTCACTAGGGATGCATACTAACTGTTGACAAATGAAATTGTGGAAGACCAGTTTGTCAGCTGATTTGTTTACTGCTTCAGGGGTTTTGAAAAGAACTGTGATATAACCAATGCAAAGGCAAAAGGCCTGTTGGAATGACAACTTATTTGTAGTTTTTTTCTTCTTTTGAAACTTTTTGTCATAAAATTAACATCAGAACTGACTTTAAATAAGGCCAGTGATGATGACATTAATAATGTTAATGGGTTTCCAAAAGGTTCTGTGCTAATATAGGATTACTGATATGCATTCATTGGTACCAATGATAGAAGAAACCTGCTTGAAGTGTTTCTTTTAAGTATTCTTGTATTAAAATCCAAGAGCCCCCAGTGAAGAGTATGAACATGTATTTTAAGCATCCTCTTATTGCATAACATGTGAAAGTAGACTCAATATGTTTTATTAATCTGTTGATTACAACTGTACGTGCCTCTGTGTGATTATTGATATGCATTTATTATAAAGTCATCTTTTAGTGGAGGAAGACCGACTTTCGTGATAAGCTTACGTGTTACAAATTCATCTATATTATCTTGTATTCATATACTATTCTTCTTATGCATTAATACGAGCCAGAGGTGGATTAAAACTGATTTCAACATGCTTGCTAGTAAGGAGTGCAGTGGTCAGAGTACCGGTATATCCTCGCTATTTTGATTTTGGGGCTATTGATGCATGTATGTGCACGATAAATCTGGATTCTGAATCATAATTATTTGATTTGTATTTAATAATGGTTTTGTTATTTATTTTCCAGTCTCTTGAAGACTTTTCTTTTATTTTTATAGATTATTGAAATTTAGGTGGGTAAGGGAAGTTATACCTCACTTTGGATGAGATGTGTCAAAATAAAAAATAAACTCCGTATTTGTATGCTACCGCAGAGGAATAAGAAATTTTTATCAGTGTTACCTGTTACATGACTTGAGGAAAAAGAGGAAAATTAAATTTTCTAGGACCTTTCACCACCTAAACTGAAAACAATACACTTAGGAAGGCAAATTGCATTCCCTCTCTTTTCAGTTTCAATTTCGTTACTTAAAAACAATTAAAACAAAAAAACAGTATACATGTATTTCAGAGGAAATGTGTTAAGATAACTGTAATGAATTGTCCCATAAAGTAAACTTCCGTCTTGATAATTGAAATCCACATATATATTCGCAGAAACCTCCAACAATACCGGATATACATATCATTGGACAAGAACCGGCGTTAAGGAAGGTCCGGTTTCAGTTAAATCATCGTCTTGCAAATGACATAGTGGAACTCGTCACAAGGTGCCGCTTCTGGTTCCAGCGTGTTCTCCCGGAGCTTCACGCAACGCTGGTTCGGGGCGCTCTTGCCCAGGTTAGCGGCATCTTCGGTCATCAGTTGACCGCTGTCCGCCCAGGTAAACTTGTCGACTGTTCCCAGATCGTTGCCACTTGTCCACCAACCTAAATGCGTTAATAATATGAAAAAAAATATTTTGTAATTTTATGTTAATTCATATATGCCATGGCATATCCTGTAAAATTATATACCAAGCTGATAATCTCACTTAGATCCAGTTGAGATGATATGATATGTTTTATTCTTTTATTGTTTTATAATCTTCAGGAACTAAATATGAAAACCCCTTTAAAATTTTACACGTTGTAACGCGAGGAGTATATTCTTAAAAGGTTGATATGATAATTATTATCATGATAATGTGGACAGTCAACAGCCTGTGGTATTGATCAGGACGCCAAGCTTGAGAAAATACAAATAAACAAGCAAAATATGTAGAATAGAGATTGGGAAAATTCTAAGATCTTATTTGGATAATATGATGATATTGATATCCTTTTCAAATATAGGCATTTCATTGTTTCTCATCTTTTCTTTTTTAATTTTCTTATTTTTAATTTTTATTTTATTCCAAAGGTTGCATTCTGTGTCTTACTCTTATCATCTCCGATTTGTGACCGGATGAATTCCCGTTCCTCTGGAGACGTGACGGATACCGAACGTGCTTCGAAGTGTCCTGCACAAAACAAGTCAGCTTCCGCCCAAGTCATCTTGTGGAATTCAGAACCGAATCTATAGCAAGCGCCAAGTGTTTCGTTCATCGTGAAACAGTTAGGGCATCTGTTTTCTGCAGATATCAAAAGTTTGATATTATTATATAATATATTAAATATATATATAATAGCTGATATATATATAATGGTATATATTATTGACAGAAGACATCAGCTCAAATTGCCATCACGAGTGAGTTCAGTATTTTAAGCCTACATGTTGTTTTGGGTTTGGAGAAAGTCAAACAGGTTACGAACTGTTTATACGGTTATAGCGACGAACTGTTTGCTACTTACCGATGCAGCTGTCCCGTAGATCGCTAAGAAGTGTTCTGATCGCATCAAGGCTGGCGTCGGCCTCGTCCATTCTCTGATGCTGCTCTACCGCCAGCGGGTCTGGCTCACACTCGACTTCAACTGATATAAACAAACAAAAATAAATGAATTTCGATACGCATGGATTTGTACGAATTGCACCTCCAATTTTTTTCCTGAATCGCAACTTATACACTTCTACATATGTAAATCAATTAAAAATATTAATCTATTGATGAATGCAATAAAATGGCAATGCAGTGAGGTTGTAAGAATTAATGTTTTACGTTCCAATTGGTTAAGATACATGTACACATACCTTCTCTGCATATTTTCCTGGCAATGGCAGTTTTTAAGTTCATCAAGTGGCCTGCATTTTTCACCATGATGACGTGGTCTTCTACAGGCTCAGACGCTATTTGATTCAGGAAGTCCCTGGAACGCGTGAAAATTTTTGAAGGAAATAATAAGTTAAAGTGTATAATGCTCACTCTTAATATTTGTGAAACACACACTCACACAGAGAGAGAGAGAGAGAGAGAGAGAGACGTAAAATCTTTTTTTTTCTTTTTTGTTCAGTGCGCAAGAGGATAAAACTTGCAGTTCATATTGGAAATGGAAATCGTAAATATGACAAAATAACCTACGGTTTCAGTCTTTTTCCAACCCCAATGGCGAAAATTATGGTACCATCGTTTTTAATGTTGTTGGCATACGGTACTGTCAACTCTTTGTCTTCGTTTGGCCGCCCGTCAGTAACAACGATTGCTATCTTCTCCACGTCAGCGCGCATACCGTTCTCTTCCGTTAATATCTCGTCTTTCAACTTGTACAAACAGCCAGACGTGTTCGTCCTACCTCCTTGAACCTCCTTTGCCTTTTTTGAGGCCAACTCGTCGATATCACCAATAATACCATCCAAGTCTACGGAATAATGGCAAAAAAATAAAACATCTAATTTTCGGTAATTTTGATGAATGAATTCCTAAGAAGTCCCTTTCAGGATCCATTTATTAATCTATGACGCTCCACCGTTAAATTAGAAGAATGATGTTTTCAATACATTTCATGTAGTATAATATTTTGTTTTAAACATTTTGAAATCATTATGATTATCTAAACCCTTTTCGTGCTGGTGCTTAAATTTCCCAAGAAATCAAAGAGCATCTATAATTGATAGATATTTGGTATTAACTCGTAAGCATGATGTAATAGGTCTTAAATATAAAACTCCGAGCTTTCATCTACAGGCCCCTGTGTAATTAATGCATGTATGACATGCAGTATTTTTCCACAGAAAGAAACCTACCTATTAATGCGCTAATAAATAGCAGAACCGATTGTGTGTTTGTGTATGTGTGTGTGTGTGTGAATGTTATAGATATATGAAGTATACTAAAGATGTGTCCAGTTCTTACTAATAGCTTATTCTTATCAAACACAGAGCGTTATTATAACGTTCCCGTAACGTTTTTTGAGGGTTATGCTAAAGTTATAATAACTTAATGTGTTTGCTGGGTTACCTTTCAATATCAGAAGCTTTGTGATATAAACCATCAAAGTTATGTTAATATTCTCACATTTTAAAGCCACAATTTAAATTGTGGTCAAGCTTTTTTATGTCATTTCTACCGCAACAGCATTATGAAAATACTCACCGGAGTTATCATTTAGATCAAAAATGATTCTTGTTTCGTAGCTAAACGTTGCCAAGGCAACCTGTGTCGCGTCTGGTCCTATCTTATATGCTGTGATGAATTCCTTGAGAAAACCAAGTATGGCCTTGAATTCATCAAAATCGATGCTCTTGGAGGCGTCTAAACAGAAAGCGATTTCTACCCGCGGGGGCGGTATGCATTCTGAAATAAGAAAGTTAAATGCGTTGGGTTGCTGCATGGTTCCGTATGAATAATTCGCAGTGCGACTTTGATTTAAAATGTGGCAAAAGTACATAGATAAACTACAAAACAGTTATACACTCGACCAAAAAAGTTTGGAAGCATCGTTATTTTGAATTATTATAAAATAACCATATGAGCTAAGGTAAATATTTAAACCAAATATTGACGAAAAATGCACCCACCATTCGTTTCTTATTAACATTTTTACAGAGAAAAGATTCTATGGGAGTTACGGCGACATTTAAGAATGTGGATCGAATCTCATATTCATAAATTATGCAAGTGGAGTGACAAAGTATGAGCAAGTCTTGACAACAAAAAGTGAAGGCTTCATATGACACTGATGCTGAGCAACTTATGACTTTATTATAACTGTGACTTACATACTCTATGGCTTACATAAAGATCTTAACTGGATGGTTATTTTATTAAAAATAACGTTTCCGAACTATTTTGGTAAGTATATTGTTGTCTCGGGGTTATAACTCTCTCTCTCTCTCTCTCTCTCAGTGTTTGTGTTTGTGTGTGTGTGTGTGTTTGTGTGTGTGTGTGTGTGTGTGTGTAAAATAAGAGCGTTTAAAAAGAAAATTGTAGTGGATACAACCACTAGAAAATGAGAAAAAACCCACCGAAGGATTCCTGTCGTCTGGCCAAATGCCTTAATTCCCCCGCAAACGATGATGCTCCGAGAGCCACCGAAATGACGCCACAAACCAACGCGTATGAAACAAGACAGTGGATCTTCATCGTTGTGATGTGTGGTATTCATCCCGCGTTCTCTCCATTTATACAGTTTCTCTCCCCTCAGTTGATGAGGTAAAGCCATAATAACCAATAACATCTATGGAAGAGAATGACAAACGCCCATTCAGTTAACGCGCAGTGGTATAATGACACTAGGTATATAGTTAATTCAAAATTTAAAGAGAGCCCAGATTATAAAACAAATTTGCTTCGCCAAGCAGCTGATTCCGACATTTTAATGAATGTAGAATGAGTCAAATGTACATACTTTATTCATGAAGTTCTCTTTCACACTGTCAAAGCTACGAGTTGTATGCGAATTTCTCTTACAACTCAAAGCAGCAAGAGTGGCCAGGCACCCCATTGACTGTTGCTAACACTAGACACTAATATGAGTTTTTTTTTTTTTTTTTTTTTTTTGGGGGGGGGGGGGACTCTTTAACAGTTGAAAATTTGAAAATATGGAAAATCAAATATCGCTGTTAATTGTTGTTTTATGACTTAGAATACAACATGTATATTTGGTTATTCATTGATGCCTTTAATTGTAGAACCAATACCACGATGACACTGATGAGGTTAGTAAAAGTTATTGAAACATGAAAAACCTTTGTTTCCATTTATCCGTGAGAAAAATTGGGGAAAAAATCGAAAGAAAATTATATGAAAAAAATATTCCACAGTAACTGTTAAGTCTGTAGATCTATATTAACCCAAACGAAATTCCCAATGTAATCTTATCTCCCAGAATGCCTTTATTTGAATCTCAACTGTGACTGAGACTTTTCGTCATCTTAAAAGATATAGCCATACGCTTTTCTTTTTATCTAAGTTCAATATTATTTCAAAATCTTTTACATAATAGGTTTGAGAATATACACAATTTCTACCCAATTTTCACTGCATACTAGCTGTCGTTCTAATCATATCACAGACATGATATAATAATAATAATAATAATAATAATAATAATAATAATAATAATAAACGCTTTCGAAGAAAACCAGGTGTAATTAAATATTTTCTGATTTCAAAAGACTGATCTTCTTTTTTAATTTCTTCAAAAATACAGTTTGTACATGATTGTTATTGCATGTTCAAAATTATGTGAACGTACGTCCATACATATATTTAAAGTAAAACAGGAAAAGCGACTGTGTTCACGGCATGCCAAATAGTAATTAGTCTCAGAATTAGTTCGAAATTTAGTATGATGTCGGCAACAGCTTGAGAGAACGTGTGTTACGAATGCGTACTTTCAGCTTTAGGAATTCAATGATGCAGCCGTACAATTTTTTAAAAAATCCTAGACATTTTTGTCCCACAAATCGATTTGTGCGATCGATTGCCGCATCTTCTAGTGGACAGACTATGAACATACTACCGTCATCATTTTGTGGCCACCGTAGATGTCTTCGCACACTTTTGAAAAGTAATAAACGAAAAACTAAACCAAGCATTGTTCTCAAGCTTACGGTCCCAGGACTAAAATACAGATCAATTTCGAAACTCAGAACACTTGTTGAAGTAATGCTTTTTATTAAATATTTCAATTTATCCCATATTCAGCTCATTTACATGTTTAAGTGAGTTTTGGCTTTTTTATTTCTGGTATGAAAATCAGCCTGATTGGATTATTTTTGTTACTAATTTTGTTAATTTCTTGTCAATTTTGACTTAAATGTCAATATTTTAATTTTCCATATATGCATGTGCACTTGTTTTCGTCTCCCACAAACTTCTATATCGCACCTCTTTTCTCTGTAAACTCTAGAGCAGCCGATGACTAAGTATCTCTTTAACTTCGTTATAAAGAGAAATGATTCCAGAATCAATTCTCATATATGTTCAAATCTTGGCTACGGCATGAAGATAGATTTAACTGCCCGGTATTCGTTCGAACGTTCCGTGATTATGCTCAGACTATTTTCTGAGTCTTTTAAAATAAAGAATGTTTTGAGGGAAACTTAAAGTGGATATAGACAAACAAGAAGTACTGCTTAATCAAAGTGAAACAAAGACGGTTGAGGCACATTCGAGTCGGAAATGCCTTGCCTAAAAGGTATATTCTGTTATAATAATTCCAGCCTTGCTATTATAGATTAATTATCACAATTTGCTAAGATTGAGATTGGAATTTATTAGCAATAAGCCATTAAGATGACCATTTAAAACCCGACAAGGCTCTGAGACCGTTGCACCGGAACCAAGAAAGGTCCTTGAATCAAATAAACCCGAATTTTGTAAGTGACTTTTGCTGTGACAATTTGTTAAGCATGCTTGGATGATCAGTGGTGTAATTTACTAGTACTACACGCTCGAAAGCACACCGATTTGTTCCTTCAGTTTCTTGAGTGCAATCCTAGCTAAATCTGCTGAGATTTAATATTTAATCTTCAAGTTGGAGACAGTCTGTTGCGACAGCTTGTTATAACGGAAAACATCTCTTAAGTATGCAGTAATGCTACCCTTATCGACAAGTGACTTTTTAAAATATTAGTGTTTCTAATAATAGCGTGCGTCCTTCTCACAACACCACTAGAGATGGAATTTTGGCATAATACAATGTATACTGCATGTTATGCTATATTGAATGTCGGTCAGAACATGGAAGTATAACTGGTTACACTTTCATGGTCAGAAAACCACAAGAAAATGGGAAAAATGAAATACATTTTTTCAGATAACCCATACCAGCTCATTAACAATGTCAATAATTCAACTAGTATGATACACTCTATGATGTACACTGCCAGCAAAATTTACACAGTAATATACAAGTAGAAATATACGAAACTTTGCCAAGTTGAGAACTAGAGCTTGAATAATGCTTGTATACAAGTTCGTGCAGAATAAAAATTTGCTCCTGAGCGGTTGCAAACTTAAAAGTACACACATAAGCACTAGATGATTAGATCGTGGCGTGTAGATTTTGTGAACTTTGATTATTTGTTTTATTGATATGTTTGCTCGGATACGGTTCACAGAACAGGCAAGGACTCGGTTAAGTACTTCGTCAACAGCCAAAGGTCAACGTGTACTTTTTTTTTCAAAATGGGCAGTAGTAATGAAATAATATACATTTTACGTGAGGGACTGTTAAGTACTTCGTCAACAGCCAACGGTCAACGGTCTTATATTTATAATAAATTCAACCAAATATATTTAAACTATCTGCCCCTCCTTAATACTAAATAAGAGTAAGCTGTCGTGTACTTGTTTTCTGTTGTAGGATCAATGTAATGAAATTATATACATTTTACATTGGGCCGACAGCGATTGCCGACAGCGACCGCGACCGCCTACCATATAAATATCTTCCAAACCGAAGAATTATGGGAAAAGTAACCATAAAAGTCTGACCAATAGTCACATGTGGAGATTTCATATACATTGTATGACCTCAGATTTGCTCTTTGGCCTATATTTCAAAGTCAAATAGGCAAAAATTTTGTAAAAAAAAAAAATTTCTGTGAAAAAAATATTTCTTTGTTCCGATTTGCTTTGATGTTATGCTGAGAATTCAGGGGTCACCTGTCATTATCCCGAGTTTTGGGTGAAAAGGTGCATTTTCAAGGGAGAAGTAGCCACTGGATGCTAAAAAATGAAAACTCTCGGAATTCTGGAACCATAAAAGCTAGAGACCTCTTACTTAAAAAAAAGCCATCTTTTATTATCAAAAATAAAAAAATACTTATTTTTTTACCAGACAAATTATGATGTCCCTTACACATAGTCAAATTTGTTCAAGATTAAGAAATTGGTAACACCACTTTATTTTAAGGCAGGTCAAGGCATCCAACTGTAATTTTCAGTTAATAAAAATGATATTTTAATTAAAATTAATAAGGCAAATAAAGAAAAAAAACTGCACATGGTCTCTACTGATTTTAATCTTTCCTGGTACGTGTAAAAATCATTATCCTTCGTTTCATTATAAAACCGATATTTGTTCTTCTTTCTTCCAAAAGGTTGTCTTCATATCAGTCTGCCTTTAGGTGGCACGTGATGACTTCAAACACTTGGCTTTTACTGTAGATTCGGCCACATCATCCATTGAGTTGGCTTGAATGCTCTTGTCAATCCCTTGCAACTTTGCAAGGAAATCTTTGACGCTGGCTGCATACAACATCTTCTGTTTAATTATAGCTTTCTCAGGACTCCTAAGAAATAAAACAATGGGCTTGAGTAACATAATCTTCCCCAATACCCAAAAAGGAAGTTTACAAAGGTTCAGTACACCATAAACACATAAATATAAATATGAAAATTTATAAATATGAAAACTTCAAAATTATTGAGACATAATTTATCATTTAACTAGTACAGTCACAGAACTGCATAGCTCATTGTAGGAGAACAGTGCTGCAGGATGAGATTTAACAACAAGAGGATAAATAAAAAAT